CAATAAAGCACAACCCCCTTGCCTCCCACCCATTTACACCATCTTCAGTCCTTGGACATCCCACTTTGTCCAGATAGGTTCTTCTACTGTGCTCTGCACCATAGGCAGAATTAGAGGAGCTAAGCCCTCCCATCCAATAACCAGCTTAACTGTACCCTCACCATGTCACAAGTGATGTGACTGTCTGCAAAACCCTCTGGTTTAAATCCTTTTGACATTTCCGGAGAGTGGCGTCTCCAGGGCAGCGAAGAGCTGGAAAGCAGGAGCCATCCCTCTGAACTCAATGTGGGGGCAGCGTTTACACCTAGCCTGAGTGTGGCTGTGAAGCACATCGCTGTCCCTAATAATGCTCCCTACCTCCAGCTGCGCCGTGTAGCCCAATTTCACGCAACTGAATTTGCTGCTGAGTTTCCTCCAGCTGCTTTTCCACTGACTCAAATTCCTTTCGCACTTGGTCGTATTTACTCTGAAAGGAAGAAGTTAGGTCAGCGCCAACCAGCGGCAAGCAAACTGGGAGCACAAACAGAACCAAGACTGTCTTCCCAATGCCCAGCCCCACTTCCAGCTGTGATCCCAACAGGCACGGGCCAACTCGTGCTCACTTCCCTGCTAGCTCTCGCTTAATCCAAAACAAGACAGGCCAGCCCCAGCAGCTGGACTCGTATGGTCTGCATGGAAACTGAAATAAATAACAGTGATCTCATGGGCACTCCTATCAGGTGCCTTCTCTCCAGGTTCTGCATGTGTTTCACAGAGTGGGCAATTGCTGGTTCCGCATTACAGTGGGGAGTGTGAGCCACAGAGGAGAAGTGATTTAGCAAAGGCACCAAAGAATCAGTAGCAGAGATATAGACAAACCAACATCACCTTACTCTCAGGCTTTCCTCGCACGAGGCCACCCATCCCCTGACAGGCTGCTGCCCAAAGAAGTGAAGTTTCCCAGAGTTTCTCACAACCAGTACACAATAGCTAGTACTGTGTTTGCCCTGAAAACCAGCGCCTGGGTCCCCATTAGCGGGGACTTGGGCCCAGTTGGCCATGTATTCTGTGCACAGTTGAGACTCATGCTAGGTTCCAGGCCAGTCACAGCTCTGCTAGTTCAAGTGAAAGGGGGGCTTCCCAGCTCGGTGCCAGAGGTGTGTGCAGGGCTGCCCCCAGTGGCTCTGTCTGGGGAAAGCACAAACATGCTCCCTTGGTCCAGCCTCACACTCACCTGCAGTTCTTTTATCTCCCGCGCCCCCCGGAGCCGCTCAGCCCGTTCGCCTTCTAGGACCTGGCAGGCCCCTTCG